CCCCTGGAAAATGGCCACGAATAACAGCGTCGAAACCGATTGATATCAGGTTGTTTACGTATTGATAAAACAAGACTGTTCGCAGTTGTTGACAATATAAAACATCATTGATATCAGGTTGATCTCAGTTGTTCCAACGACGTTGTTCAGGCCTTGTTCGTTCATCAGGCGTCAACAACATTGTTCGAACAAGCGTGAACAATATTGTTGACAACATTGCTGCAAGTGGGCCGCACAATATTGCAGCATCCTGTTCAGAACCAAGTTGCAGCAACTTGTTGACAACTTGCAACAACATGATGATTTTTACGCGTGTACACGCGTAAAAATTGATCAGGTTGATGCAACACTGATGAAAACAGGATTGAACAATGTTTTGCTGCCCACATTGTTCATAACTGTCAACAATATTGAACAATACTGTTACACCCGATTCAGGCTCAACAACATTGTTCAATATTGTTGACAAGTGTGAACAATGTGGGCAGCAAAACATTGTTCAGTCCTGTTGAGCAACGGTCTCGGCGGTTTTTGCCGTGTACACGCGTAAAAATTGAGAAAATCAACAACTTGTTGCAAGTTGATATCGACAGGCGTGAACAAGGTTGTGCGGCCCACTATGAACAGTATTGTCATCATGTTGTTACAACATTGTTCAACTGTAACAACTTGGAACAACATGGTTGACAACTTGTTCATAGTTGGCCACACAACATTGTTCACGCTTGTCGATATAAACTTGCAACAACCTGTGCGTTTTTAGCCGTGTAGCATTGATTAAGCTTGAAACTATAACATCAATCAGTGGCTACTTCATATAAGAATGTATATAAGATAATCGCTTTTGACGTCATTTCGGGAACTTTATATGGAAATTGAGCCAAACATTCATTATTTGTACAAGTGACCTTCATTCAATATCTTTTCACATTAGAAAAATGTCTGCAACGTAAAGCGAGCGAAAATACGTTACTTCAGGTTTTTGCGAAATTGTGTAAAGGTAAAAGATTCAATTGCAATCAATATCAAGAACGTTCTGAGCGAAAAACTCCAGCCTGTTTATGACAAGGTTTATAAAATGTCAAATAAGTTTGTCGACGTGCAAAATGGTGTCCCAACTTGGCAAGGTGCAAGTCTTAGTCAACAGAGTTCCACCGGTTCTCAATGAAAACAT